AGAAATAAGATACAGTCTTGATTACATGTAATTTATATTCTTTGTATTTGTTGTGGTTCTTTTTACAAGGTTTTGTTGCTTGATGTATGACTGACCGTATGCAAGGTTTTATTCTATCTTCTCTCTCATTTTTTTTTGTTTTTGCATCAAGACCCCCTCGCCTATTTGTGAATATCATCTTACACTTCTCATATATGAACCTGTACATGTTGCTTCCCTCAACCTTTAAAATCCATCACTTTCACCCCCTCCAAAAGGGGGCAGTTTTACGATTTGATGTAATTAACTCTCTCTCTCTCTCTCTCTCTCTCTCTCTCAATTTTATTTTAAGAAAGGGGGTTTTGTGCCTGATCGTATCTTTTTTATAGATGAATCAGATGAGTGCATTTCCAATAGTGTGGTTAGGAAGTGAATGAGAGGGTTCAAGAAAGTTGTTGGAGAATTCGAAGATCTTCGAAGATCTTTAAAGGAAAATTGAATTCTCTAGAAAATGATGAGAGGCTTAGATTCTTCAATAGTCACAACTAAGAACACAAAAGTAAAGAGATGATGGAGATAAGAGATTGGGTGAAGAAAAAGGCAAAGTAGTTAGAGAGAGAATAATGGCAATGCTCTCCCATGGATCTCCCACTTTCACTCTCAAGGTTAATAATGGAGAAGGGAAATTAGTTCTTTCCCAAGAGTTGTCTCTCCAAAACCCATCCCTTGTAAAGCTATGGGTGGGTGTTATTTATGGGCACCTCATGATGTAGGATGGAGCTCATGTGCAAGGCACATGTGGAATATTCTCTCTAACTACCTTGTTATAGTGGCTAGGGAAGAAGAAACAAAAACATAAGGAAGAAAGTGAACAATCTGTGTATTATTTTCATAAAATTACATACCCCTCATATGGAAGTTCCCCAATTATTTATAACTACTTCTTCACCTCACGCTTCTAACTAACTAACTAATTCACAACTGATTTCCTCTAACCGACTAACTAATCTCTCAACCACTACCTAACTGACTTCTCTCAACTGACCCTCAATTGACCCACAATTGATAACCTTCTTGACATAACATTCCTTGCTGCTTGAGAAATAACCTTGACCTCAAGGCTGAAATTGGGGATACTTTGCTTCTATCTCAGAATGATCAGCCCAGGTAGCATCCTCTGGAAAAGAATTCGCCCACTGGACTAACCACTGAACCACAACCCTATTACCATGCTTAACCATCCTCTTATCCAAGACAGCCATAGGTTCCAGTTGCAAAGTTCCCTCAAGACCTACTAGGGGAAGAGTAGTGTGAGCTAACACTTTAGTCCCAATTTTCTTCTTAAGCAATGAGACATGAAAAACAGGGTGAATTTTAGCAGTTGTTGGTAACTCCAGCTTGTAAGCTACTGAACCCTTTCCAAGACCTGATATGGCCCATAAAACCTTGGAGATAACTTCATATTTTTCTGCAAAGCCACCGTAGTCTGCTTATAGGGTTGTAACTTGAGGAACACCTAGTCTCCAATTTCAAATTCCCTTTCAAACCTTCCCTTATCAGCATAATGTTTCATCCTTTGCTGTGCCTGAGTTAAATGCTCCCTTAAGGTCTTGATAATAACAGCCCTCTCTTTTACCCAATTATCCACAACTGCTACTGAAGAAGGTGTGGAAAGGCAAAAAGTATGGTCAGGAGGTTCTTGTGCATAGGCTGCAAAGTAGGGAGTAGTTTTGGTGGTAGCATGATAGGTGGTATTATACCACCACTTAGCTAAAGAGAGCCACTTAGCCCACTACCTAGGACAGTCTCCAGACATACACCTGTGGTAGTTCTCCAAACATTTGTTCAAAATTTCAGTTTGACCATCCGTTTGAGGGTGATAAGCCGTGCTAAGGCACAGCTTACAGCCTATGTTACATGGACTCTTCAAATTAAATCAAATACCCGTGTCGGACACCCGACACTCGGACAAGGGTATGGGATATGTGTCGGATACTTTTCAACGGATACTTCTTATATAATTGTATATAACACTATTATTATATGTATATATTATTATATAATTGCTATAAATGTCATTTTGACACTATAAGTTACATATAATACCATTTTATCTCACATATTAGATTAAAAATATAAAAATATGACATTTTTTTGCCGAGTCCGCGTATCCTTAAATTTATGATTTGATGAGTCCGACCTCTAGATATATACCCGCACCCGACACCCGTACCCGAGTCCATGTAACATAGCTTACAGCCCTGTAAAGTGAAAAGTTCATGCCAGAAATGGCTAGTAAACACAGCATCTCTGTCTGAAACAATGGTAGAAGGAAGACCATGCAACTTAAACACTTGATCAAAGAATACTTTGGCCACATCTGTAGCTGTATAGGGATGTGATAAAGCCATGAAATGGCCATATTTTGACAACCTATCTAGTACCACAAAGATCATAATCTTGCCTTGAGAATTTGGTAAACCTAGGAAATTCAATCTTCGCAAATCGTTGATGAGATTAGTAGTCTATACTGAATGGCAAATCCCCCCGAGCTTGAAAATCCCCATGAGCCTGAACCCTTACTGGAGAAACCCCTGACTGTTCTTGGCGGAGCATTCTAGAATTGTCACTCCGATCCACATGCTGTTTCCCATAGATGTGTCCTGCCATTTGATCATACTTCATACTCATGGCAGCAATCAATTCCTTGATATCCCCTAATTCTGAGAGAACTCCTGATTTCCCCGATTTCCTTCGCATTTCTCTCATTACCCTCCTTTAATGATCGTAATGTCTCCTCAATTTTTTTAGCTTGTTGGGCTGCTCTAGTTCCGTCGGCCATAGTGGTTGCAGAGGATGAACAGGCCAAGAACCTGGGTGCTCTGATACCCAATGTAGTGGCTAGGGAAGAAGAAACAGAAACATAAGGAAGAAAGTGAACAATCTATGTATTATTTTCAGAAAATTACATACCCCTCATATGGAAGTTCCCCAATTATTTATAACTACTTCTCCACCTCACACTTCTAACTAACTAACTAATTCACAACTAACTTCCTCTAACCGACTAACTAATCTCTCAACCACTACCTAACTGACTTCTCTCAACTGACCCACAATTCATAACCTTCTTGACATAACACTTGTCCGAGGAGGTGACCTCTCCGAGGATGAGAAAAAAACCCTTGAAGAGGAGATCAACCTGTCGGCGAACCCTTCTTCTTAGCCACACCTAACCAATGATCCCCAATCATCCCAAAGGGTCAGGAGTAGTCCCAGAGAACGCCCTGCCATAGAAGGGTCAGGGATAGTTCAAGAGAACGCCTGGCGCAAATATTGCCGAGTCTCAGGGACCCCCTAGATCGTGTCACCTCGACCTGGGTATAGGCTAGTTTAATCGAAGAGTGAATTTATCTCTACTCACCGTCCTCGAGATCGGGTCCTTTATTCGGACTCCGTTACGCCCATGGTTCTGGTACGTAGATCCTGGAAAGCTCCGAGTCCGCAAGTGTTCTGGGGCTCATTAATGGAGCGACTTCTAGATTGCGTCTGAATTCGTTCGAAGCCAAGTGCTTTGGATCTCTAGGTTCGTGGATCCGAATCCTTTCGAGTCTGGGCCCGAGGAAGTCTCTAAGTTCGTGGATTCGAACCCTTTCGAGGCTTAGAGCGATTCAGCCCGTTTGATGGCGATAAATCCGGGCCCACCAATCCTGGACTTTCGGTAAATTCGAGCCTACCAACCTTGGACTATTGGGCCTAATTAATTTAGTGGGCTCAAATTAGCTCCTCTTACAGGAAGTATGCACTTCATGTTGATGCTTTTTGTGAGATGAATGATTCTCCTCACTCTACTTCTTGTTTCATGTTTGCTCTGTTTTCATTTTATGACTTTGGTATTAGAAGGAACAATTTGGGACATTCGGGTAGAAATGGAAAACTTGCTGGAAAATGTAGAGAGAGAACTTATCACAAATATTGATTTATTTTATAACTTTATTGTCTGTATTTGGAACACTTAGCTTTATTGGTATCTAGAAGGTAGACAATAAGAAGCTTCACTTTTGCTCTCACCAACGCAGAAGAATTTTGTCTCCTGCTTACTTCCATCATTAGGACGAACGCCAATTCTCGATCAGCTTCACTTCTGCTCTCATCAAAAGAAGCAGAATTTTCTCCCTTGCTTAATTCCATCACTAGGGCAAAAGTCAACTCTTGATCTTTTTATCTCATTTGTTCTTATCTGATGACCTTTATCTGTTGAACTCAAGTTTTGCTATCATGTTCGCGAGATTCAACCTCACATATTCATTCATCATCATGACATCATCATTGAATTACACATTCACTTTAAGAAATAATAATTTCCATCACTTCATCCGTTTTTCACAAGTGCATATGTGATACGGATACAAAAGTTTCTTCCGTATCTTTTTATGAAACTAATTTCAAGAGTTTAAGTTGATCAATGCTTACATGGCTTGTTTCTAATTGGTGGGGACTCACTGCTGTCGTGCAACTTTGCTTTCTTGTCTTTATTTATTTATGTATTTATTGGCCTTGTTTGGGAATATCACTTTTTAGCCTAATAGTCAAAACTCATTAAAAAAGCCAAAAATCCAACAAACTATCCAAAAAAGTCATAAATTCTATTTTCTCTCTACTTTTTGCGCATATTTTCGTAAAAAAAAATCAAAAAGTCATCCCAAATATACAAATTTTTTTTTTTACCTTATATTTTAGCCAAAAAATTAAAAAGTTACTAAAATAGCCTGTTTCCAAACGAGACCTTATTTTGTGTGCCTAAATTTTAGCTGTAAAAAAAGTAATATTTTTTCATTCTGCTATAAATAGCCTCTTCGAAATAGATGGGCTGCATGGGTGGTTGTAATGGGTGGACTGCCATTCTGATTTTTTTTTTTTTTTTGCATAACATATTTATGGAAATGCTACTGTCACCAATTTATTGAAATTTCTTCTTTTGACTCGATATGAGAGGCTAAAGCATAAATTGATACTTGCAGATACAGCGTGCCAGGCGATTTTATGAGAATCTAGTGCCAAGTTGTACCATATATGATGTTGAATGTCCTGATCATTCATTCCGCAAGTTCACTGATGATGGTCAGTACCTCATAAGTTTCAGCAGAAATCATCAGGATCTAATTGTTTATAGACCAACATGGCTGTCATTTTCATGCAAAGATGAAGATTGTGATACTCGTGATCTTCCCTCAAAAGCCAAGAAGTTTGAGAGCTTTTTCACCCAACTATACTGTGTACAACTTGCTTCCACCAGTGAGTTTATATGTAAAGATTTCTTCATTTACATAGAGAATAACCAATTTGGACTCTTTGCAACTTCAACTACACAAATTCATGATGCACCTGCTGCTGGAGGAGCTATTCAAGGAATCCCTTATATTGAAAAGATAACGTTTCACCTTTTGAGGTGTGCCTTTGTTTTCCATCTTCAATCTTGTAATTTTGTGAATAGCTTTTGAAATGTAGCAAATTTGGTATATTCTCAGAGGTTTATTATAGCCTGCCTTTCATTATTATTTGGTTTGCTCATTTAGATTGGAAGATGGAGTTATACTTGATGAGAGGGTTTTCCACAATGATTATGTTAATCTGGCCCATAGTATGGGTGTGTATTTGTATGACGATTTGCTGGCTATAGTGTCACTCCGCTATCAAACAATACACATTCTCCAAATTAGGGACTCTGGGAATCTTGTTGATGTTCGAGCAATTGGGGAATTTTGCAGTGAAGATGATGAACTCTTTCTCAATTCCAATCCTCAGGCAAGTGTTACTGATTTTCAATTTTTCAACTAGATCATACTGAAGATTTACAATAGTTTTCCAATTAAACCTGCTCTCACATTGGTGAGGCCTCACCATAAAAATGGAACATGATCCTCATGCAAAGTAGATGAGATATAACTGTATTTACTTTGATTAGGAAAAACATAAGATTTTGTTGGTATACAGCGTAATTGGATGGACTGATTAAAATAATAGTTTTTTCTTACTGAAAAAAGCTATGCTATTCTTCTAATAAACTATTTCTCAGCAAAATCTGTATCAAGTCCATTTATCATTCTTTAGAAGAGGTTGAAGAAAGTGGACCTACATTCTCCAAATTATATATATATATACATTTTTTATGAGAAAGGTCAATCACATTGATGAAAGGCATAGTTATTACATTGTGTTGAGAGTAGGGACCTTTGTAACAACCAGCTTGAACGGTGTCATCATTTTTCTTACAAGAATTTATTAAGTAATTCAGAGAATACAGCGAAGGGTATGAAATGTATTATATGATGCAATTAGTCACCGGACCCAATTAGCTCAGACAACTGAACATGCAACGTGATATCTTTCTAGCTTTTAAAAAAAAAAGAAAAAAAAAAAAAAACTTGGTTGCTTTTCAGATGCATATTTGTGTTTTTTAATAGTAACAATGAAAATGGTTTTTGAGACCTTTATTGTTTAAATTTTCCTTGAAAATTTATGTAAAAAGATGAAAAATTAGAAGATGAACCACCAGCGAAAGCAGAAGAACAAGAGGAAGAAGAAGAAAGGTAGTGTGGGTATTGAGGAGAGTTAAGGTAGTGTCGGTATTGGGTAAGTGAGCTGGTCGGTTGTGGACCTCTGGGAAAATGGTGGGCACTTGAATGATCAAGGATCGCCGGAGGCAGCGGAGGAGAAGACCAAGACAACCATAGAGGTTGAGAGGATGGCAGTTAAAGACTTGAGATACCTTAGTTATGGAGGTATACGATTGTTGTGTGTTAAGTTATTGTGCTTGACTGCATGCATGGATATCCCTTTTATAGGCCAAGAGTATTGGAGCCCAAGTTATCTATGGACACGTGGCCAGGTCTCCTTTATCGAAGCTTTGATACCAAGTTAGATTTAATAGAGTGCAAAGAGAAGAAGAAAGGAGAGGAAAAGAAAGACAAAACACTGTTATGGAACAATGAGAAGAGAGAGTCAATTAAGATTCTCCCTCATCTACTAACATTTATATTTAACAAGTCCAAAGTACAAATATACCCTTTGGAGAAATAACATAAAACTTTCTAGTTACTAGAAAGGAAGTCAAAATCCTATTAGGACAATAGGGAGTTTTTTATTGAAATCTATAAAAAGCCATGTAATGACTATAACTCAATAGAGTTCATTTGTAAGAGAAATGTAACACCCAAGAAATTCTTATAAGATGGGTGTAGATACTTGTATCAAGCCTAATACATGGCAAGCTCTACGGGTGCCACATCATAAAATCCTTACCCGCGCGGCAGACTGATAAGGCACCACGTGGGCATATGACATGCCTAATACATCGCGAGCCCTACGGGCGCAATGTCACCAATACCCACTTGCATGGAAGATTGCCAATGCACCATGCAAAACCTTACTACATGCTTAGCCTTAGCGGGAGCATGCACATGAGTCCAAGTATGAAGAGCCCTGCAATAGGCATCACTATGGTTCTCGCATGCCCATGATCCTTCATACTTCGCTCCAAGTCCAAACAACTCTCCATCTCTCCTTACTTCATAACTATCATCCTCCTCCCTTTCCTATTACTGTTGACACTGCCAATAGGTCTCGTATGATTGTCCTATTTGTTGGGTCTATTCTACCCTCTGCTATGTCTATTGTCACTAGACCATCTGACCTTTATGTTCATCAGTTATCTATTAGTTTACTCTCTATTAGTCAACTTCATGCTTCCGGTTATGATGTTATTTTTTCTTCTTCTGTCTATTATGTGCAGGATCGATAGTCCAAGAAGCAGATTGGGACCGATCGTAGGGTTGGAGACCTCTATGTGGTGGAAAGTTTGCACCTTCCTCTGTCCACCTCTCTAGTTGCTTTTTCATCTTTTCAGTTAGATTCTCAGTTGAGTCTTTTATTTGTGGCATTCTAGATTAGGTCATTTGTTTGTTGACCGTTTATGGTCATTAGCTCAGTCAGGGTTATTAGGTAAAGTTTCTCCTAGTCAAATTACTGAATGTCGGGAATGTAAACTTGCCAAAATGACAGCTTTACCATTTAATAAAAGTACTTCTATTTTTGTTACCTCATTTTCTCTTGTGTATACTGATGTCTGGGGACCTTCTCTTGTTCTCATTAAAGGGGTTCTGCTTACTATGTTTCTTTTGTCGATGATTACACTCGCTATACTTGGGTTTAACTTATGACTCATAAATTTGACTTCTATTTGATATATCGTACTTTTCAGTCTATGGTTACTACAAAGTTTGGGTATACTATTAAACTGTTACATTCTGACTTGGTGGGGAATATTTGAAAACTGAGTTCTATGAGTATTTGGCCACCGTGGGTACCATTCACCAAATGTCTTGTATTGATACGCCTGCTTAAAATGGTCGAGTTGAGTGTAAATATCATCATCTCCTTGAAAACGCTATGTCTATTCTTCTCTTTGCCTTTATTCTGGCTCCGTTTTGGGGTGAAACAGTTCTTATTGCTCCTTTTCTTCTTAGTCGTATTCCTATCCCACTTCTTTTTAGTTGGTCTCGTTATGAGGCTCTGTTTTCTCAACTTCCTGATTATTCCCTCCTTCGTGTTTTTGGGTCTGCTTGTTTTGTACTTCTTTCTTGAAAAGATAGGACCAAACTTAGTGCCCGGTCTGTCCTGTGTGTATTTTTGGATTACAGTTTTACTCAAAAAGGCTATCGCTATCATGATCCTATTTCTTGCCGCCTTTACGTCTCCCGCCTTGTTGCCTTTCTTGAACGTCTGTCTTACTTTCATCTTCTCCTATCACTGCTCCAGTTTCCAAAGGAGATTTGGTTTGCATTAATTCATTTCCCTTTGAGATCCCTCCTGATGAGTACATCTCTACTGTTCCCCTTGAGCTTATTCCTTCTTCTTCTCCTACCACCCCTCTTGTTGAGTCCCTTACTACTGAATCCCATGAGTTTGTTCCCTTTTCTCCTTCTGTACGTCCTCCTGCTCCTTTGTCTCCTCCATTGTTAGTTTATTCTTATCGCAAGGCTCTCCCTTCATCGGTTGTCTTTGACCCTGCTGCTAATCCCCCTACTTCTGACGACTCTGATCTTACCAATCGTAAGTATCCCCTTTGCAACCATAAATAGGTAATCAAACTTGGTTTTGTTAAAACATGTTTTTTTCTTCATATTGCACATTTTTGTCTGCTATTCACTCTTTTTCAGAACCCCAGTCTTACAAAGGGGCTTGTCAAGATCCTAATTGGATTCATTCTATGGAGGACGAATTGTTTGCATTGCAGAAGGCTACTACTTGGGAGCTGGTTCCTTTGCCTGCTGGTAAGAATTTGGTTGGTTGTAAATAGGTCTATAAAGTCAGGACTCATTTTGATGGTTCTCTCGAGCACTACAAAGCTTGTTTGGTTGCTAAAGGTTTCTTCTAGGAGTATGGTAGTGATTATGAGGAGACCTTTGTCTCTGTTGTCAAGATGACTGCTGTCCACAATTGATCTATGTCACTGCTGTTCGTCATTGGCCTCTTTATTAGATGGATGTTAAGAATACTTTTCTTAATGGCCATCTCATTGAGGAGGTTTACATGCGTTCTCCCCCTGGCCTTCCGCATTCCTCTGGACAAGTTTATCGACTTCGACATGCTCTGTATGGTTTGAAGCAATCTCTTCGTGCTTGGTATGATCGCTTTTAGACAGCTATTACTAAGCTTGGCTTTCATCTTTGTGCCCAAGACTCTGCCTTGTTTCTCCTCTACACCTCTGCTGGTTTTGTTGCCCTCTTACTGTACGTGGATGATATGATCATCATTGGTTCTGATTCTTTTGCTATTTTTGAGGTCAAGCAGCATCTCTTCTGCACCTTCGAAATGAAGGATTTTGGCCCATTGCGGTATTTTCTTGGTATTGAGGTAGCTTCTTCTCCCAAGGACTACTTTCTGTCGTAGGCCAAGTTTGCCAATGAGATTATTTATCGTGCCGGTTTTACTGACACTAAGCTTTTTGATACCCTCATTGAGCTTAATGTGAAGCTCAACACTATTGATGGTGTTCTTTTGGAAGATCTTATTTTTTTATATCGAGAGCTTGTGGGTTGTTAGTCTATCTGACAATTACTCGCCCTAATCTTGCCTATGCTGTCCATGTGGTTAGTCAATTTGTTTTTTCTCCTCGCTCTACACATTAGGCCGCTTTGATTCGGATTCTTCGTTATCTTCGTAGTACTATCTTTCAGGGCTTGCTCTTGTCTTCTACTTCTTCCTTGAACTTGGTGGCCTATGCTGATACTGATTGGGTTGGTGATGTTAATGATTGCAAGTCCACTTTTGGTTTCTGTATATTTCTTGGCGATTCCCTGATTTCTTGGAAAAGCAAGAAACAAACTGTTGTTGCCTGTTCTACTGTCGAAGCTGAGTATCGTGCTATGGCCCATGCTATTGTTGAAATTATCTGGCTTTGTAGTCTCTTATCTGAATTGGGCGTGTCTCAGTCTTCTCCGACCTCTCTCTATTGTGACAATTGAAGTGCTATTTAGATTGCCCATAACACTGTCTTTCATGAACGGATAAAACACGTTGAAATTGATTGTTACTTTGTCTTTCGGCATATGCAGTCTGGCTCTATCTCGCTTCCTCTTGTCACTTCGACTCTGCAACTTGCTGATTTCTTTACCAAGACACACCAATGCTCGGTTTCAGTTTATTGTTGACAAACTCTCGAGCGGGGGTGTGAGAATATATTTGCCTATATTGTATATATTGTATTTTAGGAATTTGGAATGATTGTGATTGTGTAAATATTC